ATTTAGATCTCACTGAGTTGCAAGTGCCTTACTAAGTTGCTGAGGCTGGCTTTGAACTCAGGATCCTCCTATCTTATCCTCCCAAGTTGCTGGAGTTACAGGCATGTACCAAGAGTGAATCTTAAAGTAAACTGTGGATTCGCAGGGCAAGGCGAGTCCAGAGTGGGTCCATGGATTCTAACTAGGTAACCATGATGTGGGGAATGTTGATTGTGGCAAGGATTGTGCCTCTGTGGGGATGGAATATGTGGAAACTTCATCTATTCTGCTTGATCTTGCTGTGAACCTAAAACTACCCTTAAAAAGGTGTGTTCATAATAATAATTTCTAAAACGTAATTCGAGGTAGGTTAAAAATAAATTATAAAAAAAATAAGAGGAAAATACAACTGATTATTTCTCTGATTCGAGTGTGAAGGACTTGTAATCAGAGAAGCAATTGTGATTATTTGGATTTCAGCATCATTTAATATATATTAAAACCCAAAATATTTTAAGAAAATAACCTTAATATATTGAGAATACATAAATGGTAAAATGGGATGAGTATACAGTCAAATGATAAATTAAAATCACAAGCTTTTGAGGAAAGTTTTATTGCTGAGCCATCGTGAAATATTAAAACAGTAGGATTTATTTTAGATTTTATGTAACATTTGCACCCAGCGCCACAAGACATCGGAATACTTTTGGTGCAGTAGAAAGACTATTCTGGCCTCTTCCCTGCTGTGTCAGCTCGCTCTCTTCCCAGATATAGCATTTATTGTCCCCTCACATTCCAAGAGTGTTGTGCACATACCCGCCAAGCAGAGCATTGATTTTGCTTATTTTCAGGTTTCCCCTGCTTGCTCTCTTCTCTCCTGCTTGAGGAAGTGGGGTGGTGTGAGTGAGGACTGCAATGCATCTGGGCTGGTGGGGCCAGTGGACCCCAGTGGCCCCGGGGCTTCATAGGTTATTCACTTGAAGTCTTGTTTGGTTTCTTGTTTTTTCTCAACAGTCCTTTTGAGACTTACCTCCTCAGGAGCGACTTCTCCTGAAAGATGTGTGGGGCAGAGCCAAGGTCGGGAGTTGTATTAATGATTTCTACGAGTCTTCTGATCTTTCTTTTTGATGTCTCAATCTTTGATAAAACATAAATGAAGGCTCACTCTGGGGTCTTGTTATTTACATAACTATAAATGGAAAACTTGAATTGAATAACTTCATATTGAAAGTTTACATGTTCAAAACTATACTAGGCACCTTGAAAGATAGTAGGTGTAAAAATAAATGAGACATGTCTTTTTTAAAGTTAAATTAAAGAATTCTTTTGAGGAAATTATAATAATTTGTACAAGCAATAAATATGTAAGAGATGTATAAACAAATTACTATTAGCATACAAAAGACAGTTGAGTTTGATTCCAGAAGGAAAGATTGGTCAGGGAAGACTGCATTTGAACCCTAGAGCAGCAGAGAAATAATTAATCAAGAGGCAGGGGAGAACGTTTCAGGCAGAGAGAGAATTGCTTGACCAAAGGCTTACAGGGGTGAAGTTTGGGGCATTTTGGGAATTGTGAACCTTCTTAGTAATGTAACAGTTGTTCAGGCACAAACAGAAAAAAAAAGTCTCCTTTGCTGTATCAGCGAGGCCCTTAAATGACTAGCTTCTCTGTACTTAGGATCTAAGAGAGTCATTTCCTAAGATTTTTTTTCTCATTATTGATGAACACCAAATTGCTATCCAGCCATATCATTACTCTTGAAGGAATTTTGTCGGATTGCTTTGCTGTGTCCCTAGGGAGTATAAGAGGGCCTGGTAGGAACAGGTAGGCTTGAGGTGTATGCTAAGTGAATGAGCACGTTTGGATTTCCCAGGAGACTCTGATTAGTCCTCCTGTAGAGGCCTGTCTCAGTGGCCACTTGGCTCTACCACTCTTGTGGTCTGCCACTCATCTGGTTACATTCGCTTTCTTGAGTTTCCTGAGCCCAGTTGCCACTTTCTGCTTAAATCCTTGTAACTAGTGATTGTCCCCTTAGGCCTTAGGGTGTACCTTGAATCCAGGGTCTGTCTGCTGTCTACCACTTGGTTCAGTCACATGTCCGGAATCTTCTACTTTAACCTTATGTCTGTTTTCCTGAGGAGTAGCATTGTTTCATCCTTTAATCTTGACTTTAATGATTTCTAGAAATGTGACATCACCTTTATCGTTTCTGCTACTTAGTCCCTACTATGTTCTTTTTTTGGTTCTGGGGATTGATCCAAGGATTGCTTAACCACTGAGCCACATCCCTAGCCCTTTTTATTTTTTGAGCCTCACTAAGTTGCTGAGGCTGGCTTTGAACTTGCCATCCTACTGGCACAGCCTCCCGAGCTGCTGTCATTACAAGTGTGCACCACCACGTCCTACATCCCACTGTGTTCTTATGATTGTTACAGTGTGTTTTACAAATACACTTATTTTATATATAAATTTATAAATAAATACTTACTATATTTAAAAATGTTTGTTTTGCTGTTATATGTTTTCTATAGCTCTGAATGAATTATTCTTTATTTTGGTATTTTAAAATTCATTCATATATCTTGAAAGAATAATTTGTAAGTTAAATTTTAAATTACCTATACCTGTATATAATATTGTTTAATGTTTGTCCTACAGATTATAGTATACTTCCTTAATTTACCATAATTACACTTGAATAAATATGATACTATTTCACACCAAATATAAGACATTTATAATATGATTTTCTTTAGTCCCCTCTCCTCTCTTTGTGCTATGGTTGTCATATGTTTTACTTCTACATATGTTATAAACTTAAAAGACACCTATCAGTTACTTTTCTCTATTTTTATTTTAAACAATTATCTTTTAAAGAAACTGAGAAAATAAATTAAATAAACTAATACATTAAGTTAAAATAAATTCACTTTCATATTTTCTCACATATTTACCATTTTGCAGAGGTTTTTATTTAAATTTCTGCTCAAATTTTGCCTGGAAGTTAAAAAAAAAAAAGATTATTTTTAAGTTGGAAGTAGTGTAGTAGTGTGTCCCTTGTCTGAGCACATGCTGGATTGACCATTTATATGTCATATATCATAATTAAAAATTTCACGTACATGTCAAAATTTTTCTGCCAGTTTTAAGTTATTTTCTGGCAAGGATCACCATTTATACATTAAAAAATTTTTTAAAAGTTGTAGATTGACACAGTACATTCATCTATCTATCTATCTATCTATTTATTTATTTTAATGTGGTGCTGGGGATTGAACCCAGGTCCTCACATGTGCTAGGCAAGTGCCCTACCACTGAGCCACAACCCCAGCCCTTGCATTTTTAAAAACTTCATTATACCTAGCACAGTGCCTTTCACAAAGTGGGCACAATGTATTTTATTAAGTTTATAAGAGTAATTTAAATTTTGTTATTTTTATCTGAACAATGTGAAATTTTATTTGTGCAATCTGTCAGAGCTGTTATATTACTACAGTTTACCATTAGATGTCACTTTCTAATTTATACTAATAAATTAGAATTATTTATTATTCCTTGCCATTATGCTTCTCCAGCTCTGGAAGTTGGCTTTCCTGTATAAGCACACTTAATCTGAGAGGTTCCTATATATTTTAAGTCTCTAAAACAGAGACATTCGTAAATTGTAATTCTTATCATTTAGTTATATGTGTGAGTTCATACAGAACCAACTGAGTTGTCCTTAGTTTTCTTTAAAACTTGCACAGTTATTTTTTAATTACTCTCTCTGTGGAGCGCATTAGGAACTATCAGAAGTCAAGGTGGGAAGAAGCAGGGCATGCAGAGACACCTGTGGGTGTGTTAAGTGTGAGCAGGCCTCATTCAGGGAGGCTGCCCCACCCCACGCTCACCAGAAGTGAGTCTTGTCAAGATAAGCTTCTGTGAAGCTGCAGGTTTTATTCAGGTTTGTCAGAGAAAGAGTGGGACATGTGGCTGTGAGAAGAAAAAGGTGATTTACATTACAGTTGTGGGGCAGAGGAGAGTGCCAAGAACAAGTTCACACCCTCATCCTCTTCCTTTAGAGGATAGGCCAGGTCAGGTCAAGGCGGTGGCCCCCAATCCCAGCTGTGATGTTCACCTGGGGCCTGTAGATTGTAAACAGCATCATCACCTGTGTAATTCAGAGGCTTATGTTTTGTTGGGTACCCAGTGTAGGGTTCACCCTGGTGCAGAAGGAAGCGGCCTGTAGCACTGTGGCAGACCCTGGCTCAGGGCTGAGGCCTCCTCTGTAGTGGTGCCCATCCGGTACCCAGGCTGTGATCCCTGTGTTTCCCCAGCCTTCCCAGAGATAGCTGGAGAATTATCTGGAGGTGTGGTCACTCTTTTCTTCAGTTTACCCAGAATATTAAAAGTTGAATAAAGTAGCAATGTTGTTTCCTAATGAATGCAACAAATACCACCCAACTAACATCTAATCCTAGGAATTTGTTCATTTCTAAAAATTTAGAATTATCTAGTATGTTATCCCCCAGCCTGTCAAATCTCACCCCAAAGTAACTTATCTTTTATTTTCTGTTGTGGTTTTACTTTTTAAATGTTGTTTTCATATACATAAATTTGGCATTTTAAAAGCCACAACTATAATAAACTGAAGTACCAATTAGGACATCTAAATTCCATTTTATATTATTCAAATTTCACATAGTGTAGTATCTAAAATGAAATTTTATCAAATAATATGTCTGTTTTAGAATAAAACTTAAGGTTCCTTAGTTTATTTTTGATAAGCTGGTACAATGTGGCCACTTGTCCTTGGAAAGATTATCTTTTAGCATTTTGGATTTTAGAATGTCATTCTTCACAAAGTAGTGAAGTAATACACACTGATGTGGATGGTAGAAAATAAACAGTCGGTCATGCTACAGCTTACATTATTATCATCAATAGTCAGGAGGTGCTGGAAGTGTTGCTCATTGTGTTGGTGGTAATTCAATTTGTAATCCATGTTTTTTGCCTTATGTTTTGTATATTACTACAGCTAAAGAAGTAAACAGGTCATGGCACGTTTAACAAAAAGACGACAGGCGGATACAAAAGCCATCCAGCATCTTTGGGCAGCTATTGAGATTATAAGGAACCAGAAGCAAATTGCCAACATTGACCGAATTACTAAGTAAGTAAGTTTAAACAAAAATATCCCTGTAAGATTTCAAATAAGACTTTGGGGGAAATGTCTAAAAATTCCTGATCTAGTCTGCTAGTCAACATGTATTGCAAAGGACTGAAGTCACTTCTTGCCTTGTAGAAATCTACAGTTACAGAAACATGTACAAGAATTTGTATTTAGAAGTTTTGTAAATATTAGACTAGTAAAAAATATCACTAAGTTCTATTTTCAAGTTTTTATTTATAAACTATTTTAATTTTTAGAAACTAAGTCTTGTTTAAAAAGCTTTTTAGTCAGTTACTTGCTTTATATATGAAGCTAACAGCAGCCTGCCGTTCATTAGTCATTTCAATATAGGATGAGCACAGTATGTGTGGTAAAAGGCAACTTTCAGTTCGTAATCCACTAACAGAATCCGTAACAAGGCCATTCTGTATTTTAGAAGATATATTGAATAAATGTCCCATTTAAAAAAAATACATTCTTTTTTTCCCCTTCGTTTCTAATGCCATTTATCTTGGTAGCCAAAGATTCAGGATTAAAAAAAAAAAATCCAGCTACTTGATGAATACTATTTACTTGTTCTATACTAATTATAAGGGAGTCTTCAATATGGAACTCAATTTTGCTTTGTTACATTTGTTTCTCTGGGCACTTTTAAAAAGAATAATACCAAATTTATATATTTTTTAAACGTTTGGATGAGTTTTTTGCTAATTGGTAGAATTTCTTTGTATTTATCCCTCCCACATTTGTTAATACTGTCTATGAAAATGGAAAACAGCTAACTTATAAAAGCTAACTTCCATAAATGCCTTTTTTGTTTTTACCTTTATTAATAAGTAACACAAATTGAGTTCCATGGATATTTGTCCCTTCCTGGTGTTCTGGGAAGATTATAAAGGCTGTGCAGGAGGGAGGGAGGCTGGGGAATGGGTAGAGGGGTGAGGCTGGGAGCTGCTCTCATTGTGTACCTGCAGGGGAGTGTCTTAGGTTGGCCATCAACTCCTAGCTCCTGTCCTGCAATAGAGGAGAGAATAGGAAACACTGTGGAAAATGAGAATAACACAAGTAATACTTACTTTAATTATTAAGTTTTTAAAGAAGCAAATAATATGAGGCATGGGAACTAATACAGAACAGATTACAGGAAGGTGATTTTAGTATAAAACAGTTTTTTAAAGATCTTGAGCTGTGGATGTAGCCAGATAGTTGAGTGTTTGCCTAGCATGCTTAAGACCTTGGGTTCAATCCCCATAACTGCCAAAGAAAACAGTATTTTCTTCTAGTTGAGATTTTTTTAAAAAACCATAGTTTATGTATATCAAAATTGCTTACAGAAGAATTTTGAGATATACTATTCTTTGGATTACGTTTGACCTTAAAATCATGTAAGCTTGGCAGAGCTATTTTGGTTTCTCAGACCGCTACTTCTCTCTCTTCTGCATCTCTATCTTAGAAGCATTCTGAGTCCCCAGCAAGAGTGTCCCTGATCTAGAATTGCCTGTTGAGTGGGTGTGAGAGAACTGGCCCCTCAGTAGTGGGAGTTAGTGTTACATAGCATAACCCCGGTGTCAAACTGTAGTAAAGGATTGATAAATAAGATCACTTCTCATTTTGCATTATGGATTGTTGATAAAGAAAGCAGTCTTTTTTCTCCATTAATTTAGGCTCAAATGGCTTTGAATCACATTTTTCTTCATGTCTTAAGGTTCATATTTCGTAAAGCAAATATGAATAAATGCATTTACCTACCAAATGGCCATGATTTTATTGGTTCATCTGAAGATAGAAAGAAAGAAAAGAAGGAAGGGAGGGAGGGAGGGAAGCAGAGAGGGACAGCTTACATGTGTGAGTGGGTTTGATGCCGTATTTCTTTTTATTATGGCAGCTCACTGTAGAGCATCCTGTGCTTCTTGCAATTATATCCTTGTTTGCAATTATATCCTTGCTGTTCAGTCAGCTCCCATGAGGAGCTGCCCAGGGAGTCACCTCATCTAGTGCCCTTGCTTCTCGGCCAGTGTCTGTTCCCCTTGCCTGCGCTAGCTCAGAAAGCAGTGTTGGACTGTGCCAGGAAATAGATCTTTGGCTCTAAAGCCTAATGTTACTATTCTGCACTCTTTTTTTTCCCCATATTTTTTTTAGTTGTGAATGGACACAATACTTTTATTTATTTATCTTTATGTGGTGGTGAGGGTGGAACCCAGGGCCTCACCTGTCCTAGGCGAGTGCTCTACCACTGAGCCATAGCCCAGCCCCCATATTATGCACTCTTAAAGGTAACACTTTTCAAGCCTTAGATTTATTTTAAATCAAGTTGTGTTGCTTAGTCCAGTCAAGGCTGAACTCAGAGGTGTCTTTTAAACTTTAAAAATATCTTAAGCCACCGCAGGCTGTAAAGAGTTGCTTAGTGGTTAGGTCTCCTTCTCTGTTTGGTGAGTGACTCCATCATAGAACAAAGGTCTTCTAGGTGACTGGCCCTTGGGGCGGGCACATCCTCCTTGTGGCTTACTTGGATGTGCTGTTGGAGTTTTCTTGTCTTTGTTCTTTTAATCTGTAAGTTTCTCCTTCATCTTTTTTGGATATTTTCCTTTTGGCATTTACTTATGAAGGAACAGGGTTGTTTGTTCTGGTTTCTTAGGGTCTAGCGTTGCTGATGTCCTTGCAGTGGTCTACCTGAGTTATTGCTCAGTCCTGTATTGGAAGGTACTGAGTTGCCTTCAGGCTTGAAGGTGGGGTCTGACAGCTCCAGGGTGATGGTGGGTCCTATTAGAAGGCATGCAATGGGGTACAGCGCTCGCCTAGCACGTGTGAGGCGCTGGGCTTGATCCTCAGCACCCCATAAAAGTAAATAAATAAAATAAAGGTATTGTGTCTGACTACAACTAAAAAAAAAAAAAAAAAAAAGAAGGCACATGATGTTGACTGCTTCTCATTTCCTGATTGTCGCCATTGCTGTTAGATCTGATAATTCACTAAAGCTTAAAAATTTGTAATAGTCTTTCTTTTTTAAACTGGAATATGCTTCTGTAAGAATACAAGCTTCCCATCATCTGCTCTTTGGTTTCCCTATGGCATAGTTTGTATAGGAAAAGTAGTGTTCGAAATAGCACCCTCTACTGGAAATATTAGTTTTTAAAGTAGCATTTGGAATTCATGCATTTAAATAAATTGAATATATTTCAATCCAAATTTTACATCACCCTTATTTTACACACACACACACACACACACCTCATTGCTTAGTTTTTATTGTTTGGGGCTTCTCTTAGTATGTTAGATTTCGTTTCCCTGTTCGTTGTATTTCTAATTTTCTCTTGAATTCCTTTCATCTTTTTAGTTTGAGATTTTTAGAGTTTCCCTTCTTGCGTCTGCTGTTTATCTGTGGTGTTATCTGCTGTGTGTTCACCCGTGCATGCCTGCTAGTTTGTACCTCATTTCTGAAGTGATTTTCTTCGGATGTTTAACTCATTCTGAGACTTTGCAGTGTCTGTATAGCTTTCAGATATTGTTCTGTTTTCTGCGTCTTTTCTGGAGCAGCAGATCATGGTTTCTTGGGTCTTTTTTAAAATACTTTTTCTATTTATTTATTTTGGTACTGGGGATTGAACTCAGGGACACTCGACCCACTGAGCCACATCCCCAGCCCTATTTTGTATTTTAGTTAGAGACAGGGTCACACTGAGTTGCTTAGCGCTTTGCTTTTGCTGAGGCTGCCTTTGAACTCACAATCCTCCTGTTTCAGCCTCCCAAACCGCTGAGATTACAGGCATGCGCCACCATGTCTGCCTCTGTCAGCATCTTTGCTGTGTGCTTTTGCTTGTACAGATGTGATTCTGCTCTGACAGCCAGTATTTTCCCTTGGTTGTTTTGATGTAAAATCAGTTTTCTTAAACTTGCAATAGAGAAGGTGGTTCTAAAGTACTTTCCCTGGGCTTATGTCTCTAAAGCTCTCTTTTATGCCATTTTTATAAATTGCCAAAAATGTGTGCTCTTATTTCCTGAAGTTTCCTGGGGTTTTCTCTATTTTTTAATCCCTTTTTTTTTTTTTTCCTGGAACTATGTTTTCTTATGCTGAAGTTCACAAGAATCTTGTGATTTTTCTTCAAAAGAAAAAAAAAGCACCGTTTTCTTTCAAAAAAGAGCTACGGTAATAAAACAAAACAAAATACCTTCTAGTAGAGGCAAATCTAAGGAACGTTTTTAATATCTGTGAAATTCTAGATACATTAGAATCCACAGTAATATATTCCTCTCTTCAAACATAGTAAGTTGTGTTGCAATTTTAGAAAGGAATTCTGTAAGTAGAATTTGTGGCATTTTAAAGCATTTGAGCTCCAGATCCTCACCACAAACAAACAAACTGAAGGATGTTTTGTGATGTTTCATGTTAAATTTTAGATGGCACATGGATTCATTAATTTTATATAATTTGGGTAGTTATAGTAAAGCTTTGAATTACTTCCTTACTTAATATGCATGTTAAATATTTATGAAGTATTTGTATGTTTTGATGACATTAGCCCTTGTTTTACAGCTCTTAGCTCAGGTAGCAAGGATGAAGAGCCATGTGACAGCAAAGCCAGTGGCAGGAGTGACGCTTGAGATTTTAGTTGCATGTGATGCAGCCCATTGTCAGGTTATTCCTTTAAACACCAGTAATGTTTTTATATTCCAGTAAAAATAAATTATAGGGACCACCTCCTTTCCCCCTTTAATCCAGTTCATGCACATCTACTTTGAATAATTATGATATTGTCTGCGAGGTTTGTAATTATTCTAAGTAGATGTTATAAGATAGTTTAAAAACTTGCTTGTGAAGGAAGTTTGGATCTTGTGCTAGTTTTTACAGGTGTTATTGGGTAGGAAGTATGTTTGGAGGAGATAAATTTGTTTTTAATTGACTACTGGAATCAGCAATTGAAGCAGTGGCTCTCTCGGTTTCCTTCCTGTCTTGAGTGAATTCAATTCTGTTTCTAGGGGTGAGTACTTTGTGACTGGTATCA